GCAGATCAGGGCCTTGTAAACTTCTTTTAGTGCCACAAGCGAGGACTTTGCAGCTCTTGGCAAGGCCAGGGTGAGCATTCCTGGGAGCAGGGTAGCAGTTGTTCTAGGGAGGAAACAGCCAGCCAGCCCAGAGCCTCCCCAGCACTCTGCTTTGGGGCACCAGGGCCAGCTGGCGCTTCTGGACCTCTCTGCCAGCCGTGGCTGAGCTGAAGCTCCTTTTCTGGAGGGCCCTGCACACCCTGTGCTGGTCTGGCCTCTGCGTGCATTTCCCCTGCAGGGTGGTGTGCCCTTTCCCAGAGCTGTGGGAGGCAGCAGGATGAGCCAGCCCCACCAGCTCACCTGCCTTGCTCTGCTTTCACCGGGGGGCAGAATAAATCAGTTTATTTCCCTTTCTGGGCTGGCAGGAGCTTTCCTGTCCCTCAGCTCATTTCCACCGACTGGAATTCCTTTGGGGTGCAAGGGGCAGAGCCCTGGGCTCTGCAGCCCTTCCTCACCCCTGGGATAAACCCCTGGGATCTGTGGAGGGCTCGGGGCAGCCCCTGGGAGCTCCCACGCTGCTGGCACCTTGTGGGACAGGGGATCTTGCAGCAGCCCTTCCTCACCCCTGGGATAAACCCCTGGGATCTGTGGAGGGCTCGGGGCAGCCCCTGGCACCTTGTGGGACAGGGGATATTGCACCCAGCCAGGATCACTTTGTTCACTTGTTTTATGGTGGATTTGCAGCTTGGGAATGGGCTGGAAGTGTTGCTACACTCAGGTCTCTTCCTGAAGGTCTGAGTGTTTCCCGTGAGGCTGGAGGCAGGTGCTGGAGCCTGGGACCATTCTGGTTTTTGGTCAAACCTAAAGCAAAGCCTGGCCTGATCCCCTCCCTGGAGGTGCAGCTGTGGCAGAGCCACGTGTGAGTCTGGATGATTCCTGTGAGGGTTTGGTGGGTTTGTGTCAGTTGTTTGAACAGCTCCGACCCTGCTCAGTGTTTGGGGCAGCCCCAGCTGCATTTCAGGGCTGTAAAATGACCTTTTGTCCTTCTGGCTCTTGGGGATGTGATTTGCTGTATCAGGGAGCTCTCCTCACTTGTGCTGTCCAGGTTTTCACGTGGGGAGGATCCTGACTTCTCCAAACTCCGTTTTCAGCGTTGCTGCCACTGGTTTGTCTGCAGAATACAGGAGGTTTCCAAGTCAAATTCATTGCAGCTCCTGAATTGTACGTGCAGGGAATGGCAGGGAATGGCAGAAGCAGCAGTGGGATAGAAATGTACGATGAAATGGAAAAACCTCCTGCGTGCCTTTGAGGTTTATTCCATTTCTTCCCTGGTTAATTCCCCTCCTTTGGCTCCCCCGGACTCCAGTTAAAGAGTTTGACTGATTTATTTCCCCTTGTGTGGTGGGGTCCTGCCTGTTGGGGCATGGTGGGGCCACAGCAGCTCCCTGGCAGGGCCTCTGAGGGATCAGAGCTCTCCTGCACTGGGAGACTTTGAGTTTTTATTGGTTTTCATTTTTATTGTTTGCTTCACAAAGTCTTGGTACCAGCTGTACTTAGCTGAGCTTTTCTCACCCCATGGCTCAGATCTCCATGCTGGGTGTTCGCTGTGCACTGAGGGAGCTCCTGGAGCTGCTGCAGTGAGGAGGAGCTGAGCTCTGCCAGGGGCTTTGTGTTCTTCCCAGAACTCTGATAAACACCCAGGAGGCAGCTCCTGGCAGCTGCTGATGTTAAAGGAACGTATTAATCAAATTAATTGAGAGTTCCTTTTAATAATCATCAGCACCAACATAACTTTGTGACGTGGTGTTTTCAGTGTTGCCAAAAGTGATTCCCCCCAAAAGGATCTCTGCAGATAAATCAGCTGATAAAGTGTTCAATTGTCTCTTTTGCTACCTGATAATCCAATTAAGTGGTGATAAGGAAAACAGCTCCTGGAGAATTTCCGGGAAGCAGGATGAAGCAGTCAGAGTTGCAGGAGCAGCCAGGCACGGGTATCCATGGCTACTGAGCAGCCGGGCACTGCCAGCCCTGGCATCCCCAGGGTGGTGGTGCCTGCAGAGAGCCTGCAAAGAGCCTGCCCGGGCTCTGCCTGCCAGGGCACGGCCCAGGGACAGCCTGGCATGGCTCAGGGAACAGCTCAGGGATGGCAGGAGCAGGCTGGCATGGCCCAGGGATGGCAGGGCATGGCTCAGGGCATGGCCCAGGGATGGCAGGAGCAGGCTGGCATGGCTCAGGGATGGCAGGGCATGGGTCAGGGCACGGCTCAGGGACAGCCTGGCATGGCTCAGGGCACGGCTCAGGGATGGCAGGAGCAGGCTGGCATGGCTCAGGGATGGCAGGGCATGGCTCAGGGCATGGCTCAGGGATGGCAGGAACAGCCTGGCATGGCTCAGGAGCAGGCTGGCATGGCTCAGGAATGGCAGGAGAGGCCAGGGCACGGCTCAGGGATGGCAAGGCATGGCTCAGGAGCAGCCAGGGCACGGCTCAGGGCACAGCTCAGGCTCTGCTGTGTCCCCAGCCCCTGTGCTCCCTGCTGGTTTGGGTCCTGGCTGCCCCCTGACCTCTGTGCCAGGCTGTGACACAGCACTGGCATTGCCAGGGAAAAGCCATCGTGTGCTCATCCCCCCGAGGGTTTGTGCTGTGCCTCTCACCCCACAGTGGGTGAGGGGCCCCGAGCATGGACCCTGAATCCCACAGCCTTTGTGGGATCCACAAATGCCATCCATGGTGGTTTGGGTTGGGAGGCACCTAAAGGATCTTCTTGTTCCACCTTCCTGCCGTGGTGGGACAGCTCCCAGTGTCCCAGGCTGCCCCAAGCCCTGTCCAGCCTGGCCCTGACACCCCAGGAGCTGGACGGGCTCTGGACGTGGCAGAGCAGCCCCTGCTCAGCCCTGGGCTGCCTTTGGCTCCCAGGCTCTCCTCCCCTGCCAGGCACTTGGTGCTGCCTGCAGCATTTGTCACTTCTGCAGGCCACCAGGGGTAATGAATTACTGCAGGAGTCCTGTGACAAGATCCTGAATTTGCAGCTTTCATGTTTTCACCACCTAATTCCCTCGGAGGTTTCTCCCTCAGAAGTGCTGTGAATTAACCTGACACTTTCAATAACTGTGCACATGTTTCCTGTTGTGGTGGAACGTGGGATGAGGATGTGAAAGCTGCACTTACTCCACTGTGCCTTTTGGGCACCAGACACCCAATTCCCCGTGCCCTCTGCCTGCCCAGGGGGACAAAGGGCACGCTGGTACTGCCACTCATCCCTGATTCCTCCCTGCATTTATCCTGAGCTCTGGGCAGAGGTGGTGCCAAGGCTCCAGGGCACCGTGGCATCTGCTGCTTTTGGGAAAGCTCTCCCCTGCCTGTGGGATCCCTGCCAAGTGGGACATTCTGGGAGAGCTGGAGAGCACTGCTCGTGGCCTTGGGTTCACTCTGTCTAATTTTGACTGCGGAAAGTAGAAAGAGCATGTAAAACTGTTCAGATTCCTGAACTCGCTGGCAGTGAGACTTTCAATCTTCATTTAAAATCAGTGGTGTCTGCTTTTAAAGGGGATGTCTGCTTTTAAAGGGGAAAAAAAAGTTGCAGAAAGTCCAGGTTGTGATAATTGCGAAACAAAATGAAATGTTTTATGTGAGTCAGAGAAAAACTTGGGGGTTATTATTCTCCTTTATTCTCTTCCTGTTCACGGTTTCATTTCTCCCCACTGAAGCCGTGGGTTTGTTCCAGTGAGCCTTTGGAGCAGCCGGCCCTGCAGAGCTGCTCTGCCTTCAGGCAGCTGCAGCTCAGCTTCTCTGTCAGAAATCAGGGAGAGCGAGGCTGCCCTGCTTTGTGAGGGGCTCAGATGGGCACAGGAGCTGCATTTCACCATTTCCAAGCAGGAGTTTTGTTTTCCCAGCTGTCCCGTGCTTCTCTGGGGGTTGGTGTGCCCTGGGAGGAGGAGGATGCTCTGGCGCTTGAGCCTCCTCCTCCTCCTCCAGGCCCTTCACCCTCCAGCACCTTCTCCAGTGCTTCAATTGCCAGGACTTTTAAATCTGGGGTTTAAAGCCTATCTGTGAATCTCTCCCTTGTCCTGCTGCCTTTTAATTAACTCATCCCCACTGCTGGTTTTTATTAAGAGCTCTGATACGTTATTAATTAACGCACTGTGCACTATGGTGAGCAGGTTGGTATCAAAGATGCTGTAAAAGATGAAAGTGATTACTACTGAGAAACAAAATAATTAAGGCAAAAGTTGTGTTTTCATCTGCTAGCAACAACCAGAATGTCGGTGGAGATGGGGTTTTTTTTTAATTTTTTTTTTCTAAAACAGACTAGCCAGCTGGAACGGTGCTGGAAGTGGGTGGGTTGGTCTGGCTGAAGGCACCTGTGCCTGTGCTGATGCTCTTTGCTGTGTTCTCTGGGTGTTTATGGGGAGTGCCTTTCACAGACTTTACCTCGAGCTTTCACAGTTGGTGTCTCTCCATCCTGTTTGGTGCTGGGCCCTTGAACAAACAGGGATTTTCTTGCCCAGTCTGGTTTTATCTCAGCTTTGGCTGTTCCTATTCCAGGTAACTCATTCCACTGGAGGCATTTTCCCCAGTAGCCCTCAAGTTGCAAAATCAAAAAGAATCTCAGCCCTTCACTGAGATAAACCTGCCCAATACCCTTCAGTAGCTGCTGCCTCTCAGCCCGTTCTTTTGGGGGTTTGTTCATCAGTTTAGGCTCGTTCAGGTTGCTGACGTTTCCTGGTTTGATTCCTCTCCTTTTCACCCTTCCCCTGCCCATTTCTTTGCTTGTTTTGCTGTTCTGCAGTGGGTTGGGCACAGCCTGGGTAGTCCTGACTCTCCCAGCCCTGCAGGCAGTGCTGTCAGAGCAGGAATTGCATGGGTCCCTCGGGGTCTGGCCATGGATGCTGGAAGGGCAGTGTCCTTGGGAGCCTTCCTCCCCTCCCAGCTCCCTTTGGGCCGTGCATCCCCTGCCTGTGCTGGCTCTCTGGGGTTTCCTGCCCTCCCCTGAAGGTCCCTTTGTGCTCTGCTCCCTGGCACAGGTGGGCTCTGCATCGCCCAGTCCCTGAAGATCCCCCAGGACCGCAAGGACAAGAGCATCGACTTCGACAGGATCATCCGGCAGCTGCTGGAGACCCCCAACGCCAGGGCCATCGTCATCTTCGCCCACGACGAGGACATCAGGTGGGGCTGGGCCCTCCCGGGCCCTGCTGGGGAGGGGGAGCCGGGGAGAGGCTGTGCTGGAGCCACACGGGATGTGTGGAGCTGGGGATGGGTGGGGGGAAGCACGGGCACTGCTGCTGCCTGGCTCAGGGGTGCCCACCTGTGCTGGAGAGTGGGGACCAGGCTCCGGGAGCTTTTCCTGGAGCTTCTCCACGCTCCTGTTGTGTGGCAGAGCTGACCTTTCCTCTCAGAGGAGTTACAAACACGCCCCCCTCTCCAGGCTCCTTCGACTTGGTGTAATTCATTAATTCAGTCCATTTTATGGCAAATGAAAGTTAATAGTGATAAAGTGACTTGGATGCTCAAGGTTAAACCACATGGAATGGGCTCGTAAAATAACACAAAGAATATTTTATATTTCATTATTCACTTGCGTATTCTGGCTCCAGAATTTGAAATTAGCTTAAAATTGTGATGGAATCATCAGTTGCTGAGAGGCCTGTCCCACAAAGGGAGACAGAAAGAATTTAGGGAAAAATTTCAGTAAAGCCAATGGAAAAACGCTAAGTTTTAGTGGAACCAATACTTCAGTCGTGGGATGTAGGGTGAATTTAAAGAGAAGTGCCATTGGTGCTGCATGGGTCATGGGATGGTTTGGGCTGGGAAGGACCTTTGGAGATCATCCAGTCCCACCCTTCCCTGGCCCAGGCTGCCCAGAGCCCTGGTGACAGAGAGTGTCCCAGCCCTGCTGGGTCAGGAATGTGCTGCTCCTCCTCCCCACAGCCTCGGCCAGGCTGGAGGAGAGCTGTGAGCCCACGAGTGCAGCCCTGTGCCAGGGCCGCCCCGTTCCCTGGAGAGCTCCAGGTGTCAGTGAATCCCCTTTGCAAACCCAGCTTTCCTCTCCACAGGCAGATCCTGGCGGCTGCCAAGAGGGCAGACCAGGTGGGACATTTCCTGTGGGTGGGCTCCGACACCTGGGGCTCCAAGGTGAGCCCGCTGCTGCAGCAGGAGGACGTGGCTGAGGGAGCCATCACCATCCTGCCCAAGAGAGCCACCATCGAGGGTAAGAGCCTGTCCCTGCCCGTCCCTGTCCATCCCTGCTGTCCCTGCCATCCCTGATGTCCCTCCTGTCCCTGCCCATCCCTCCTGTCCCTGCCTATCCCTCCTGTCCCTGCCTGTCCCTGCCACCCCTGCTGTCCCTGCTGTCCCTCCTGTCCCTGCCTGTCCTTGCCATCCCTGCCTGTCCCTGCTGTCCCTGCTGTCCCTTCCTGCCTCTTCCTCTCCCTGCTGTCCCTCCTGTCCCTTCCTGTCCCTGCTGTCCCTCCTGCCCCTGCTGTCCCTGCTGTCCCTGCTGTGCTGCCCTCCCGGCTCGGGTGGCCTGTGGCACACACGCTGTCAGCACCTGGAACACGGCTCCTGACGTCTCCCCGAATTCTCAGCTGGGAACTCGAGGCTGTTTCCCAGCTGAGGAGCTGCCAGCAGCTGCTTGTCACAGCCCTGGTCTCAGAGCGTGGGGGTGTGACAGGGCTCTGTCCCCGGGAGGAAAACCCAAAACCTCCCGGGTGCCCACAGTGCCTCTCGGGCAGTGCGGGTCCCTCTCTGAAACAGGGCAGAAGTTTTCTACTGAAGGACTAAAACTTCCTTTTTCCGTCAGTGGTTTCCATTTAAACTCAGCTTTATTTCAGATCAAGCCCTCTGTGTGTCCATATTGCTTGTGTGCTTCAGAAATACCCACACCTGTGCAGATGTGTGTGCATGGCAAATTTAGGGAAGCTCGTTTTGCTGAACCCCTTTGTTCCTCAGCTTTCCTTTGTGCTCTCAAGTGTTTCTTGTCTGATCTCACCCCAGTTTGTTGATCCTGCTGTGGGTAAAGGTGCTTCAGCATCCCCCTCTGGGCACCAGCGAGGTTGCTCAGACTCTGTGCTCTCTGGGACAGGGAGGAAAAGTTGTTTCCAGGGGAGGCACTGAGCAGAGAAACCCAACTCCTGTGGTGGCCCAGTCCTCAAACACGCTGCCCACTTTAAAATGGGTTCTGCTCCCTTCACTCCCTGGAAAACCAAATATTTGCATTTTTCCTGTGCCTGCACTCCCTGCTCATCAGTTATTCCTCTCAGGTAGATCATCTGCTTCATTCTTTTACATTTCTAGCCCCCCGAGGCACTCTTGGATGTTATTTCTCCGTAAATACAGAAAGTTGACAGACAATGAAGTGGTTTGTTTCTGAAAAGCAGGATATTTTAATAAGCTTTTCACACTGTCTGTATTCATCCCTGAGGGTTTCTGACACGCAAACAAAAATTCTGTCAACAGTACACAGAAACAAAAACTTCCCGCGTTTGTTTGTTTTAAAATATTTTCCTTTTATGTTCCACATTAAACCCCTCACGGGAGGCACGAGGGGGTTTTGGACGCAGTGAGTGAGGATGGCAGAGTGGGAGACTTCAGGTGTAGAAAGTCAGTTAAGGTAGAGGTATAAATATCAGTATATTTGGTGTATCTGCAAAAAAAATGTGTTTATTGAGCCTGCAAGTCTCTCCTCGTTCAGTGGAGAAGTGCCTGGCGTAGCCTGGGTGCCTTTTGCACTCGTGGCCACACGGGCTGGGGGATTCCTGTGGTGCCTGAATCACATCTTGCCTGCAAATCCCTGTGCCTGAGGTGTCCTCCAGGAGAGACACACGCTTGGGGTCTGTGTGCTCCTTGCAGGGGAGGAAGGGTCTCGGGCAGGGGGGAGCTGTGGGGGCAGGGTGAGGGTCCCTGAGCAGAGCAGAGGGCTCTGCTGCTCCCTGGCCCCTGCAGGGGCTCAGGCTGGCTCCTGCCCTTCCCAGCCCCGTCCAGCTGTCCCCAGATGCCACCTGGATGTGCCCCCTGCTCCTGCTGGCACGGGCTGGGGGGTTCAGGGAGCAGGGCTCATCCCAGGCTGCTGGAGCAGTTCAGCTCCCACATTCCCTTCCAGGCTGATCCCGTTTCTGTCCCTTGCCCCAGGAGAGCAGGCAGTGGATGGGTCAGGAGCCCCAGGCTTTGGTGTTTGCATGCCCAGGGAGGCCCTGAGCCCTCTGGATTGCTGCCTCCCTCCTGCCCAGGCTGTGGAGGTTGTTCTGGTTTCCTTCCTGTCCTTTGAATTGTTGAATTCTGTTGTTTGGCCATGAGAAGAGAGAAAGGAATTGGACATTTTAATGTCATTCTTTCATCATGCACAAATGAACCTCTAAAGTTCCGCAATGCACTGCTTTTGGTGAGGGCACAGAATAAAAAATAAAGCACCTTCAGGTGCTTTATTTCCCTTCCTGAAGGTGTTCCCTGCAGGCTGCAGGAGCAGGCTGAGCTCAGAGCCCTGAGCAGAGCCCAGCTCCTTCCCCTGCAGCACCCAGGGCAGGGCACAGCTCAATTCCCTCTGCACCCCCTGAGAGCTCTGTGTTAGTCCTGAACTCTGTGTTGGAGTCAGAATGAGGGGCTTGCCCTTGTTTTACTCCTCAAAAGCATCCCTTCTCTTTCCCCCTTTCCTTTTATCGCTGTCTGCAGTGGTATTTGGGATATGTTGGAAGGAGGTTCCTAAGAAACCTTGCTGGACAGAAAAAAAATGCATTTTTCAAATTATTCTTCATCCCCAGCGGTGACTTCAGTTCAAAGTGCAGGTGTGAGGTGCAGGTGTGCTGGGGTTTGACAGCTCTGCACACAGGTACCAGCTGATGTTCCTTTCCCTGGCAGTGGGGAGATCCCAGCAGCCTGTGACTCCTGGGGGGGTCTCAAGTGTTTGGCTTTTTGTAGGATCAGGCCCCAGATCCACGGTTATTTGTCGTGGTACTTGATGCCACTCTTGGGACAGAATTTTCTTTGCCACAGTCCCATGGGGGGGATTTAGGAAATCATTAGATGAACTGAATTCATTCATCTTAAGTCAGTCTTAATATAGCCTGATTGTGTTTGATGTAATTATGCTGAAAGGATGAGGTTGCATTTTATTTGCATAATTGCAGTAGACAGTGAGCCAGAGAAGTGCACACGAAAGAGGAATCACTCCTTGGCAAGGTGGGAACACAGTGCCAGCCCAGCCAGGTAAGGGAGCGTGAGAGGCTTGGAGAGGCTGGGGCTGAAGCACAGCCCTGTGTCCCCAGCAGATCCAGATCCATGGCTCCCCAAGCACAGCCCTGTGTCCCCAGCAGATGCAAGGGCGCTGCCAGGGACACCCTGCCCCGTGCAGGGCAGGACAGGGCCTGGCAGCAGAGCTGTGTTTCCATGCCATGGCACTGTCCATGGGTAGGGAATGCCCTTGTTTGTGCTGGCACGGCCCTGGTGGAGCCTCATGCTCTCAGCTCTTGCCCCTGAGCCTCTCCTGCTGCCACACACGAGGGATGAGCTGATTCATCTCACCAGGGGCTTGGCAGAGGAGGGCCAGGTGAGCTGGGGGTTCCAGCCATGCCTATGGAACAGTGCAGCAGGAAAGGGCCAAGGAACCCCTCTGGGAGGGCACTCCCAGCTCCCTGAAGCTCAGCAGGGGCTGCTCCTGGTGTGTGCCACCTTCCCAAGGCAGTTCTGCCAGAGCTGCTGGGAAGGAAGCGACCCAGGGGCCTCAGACTGATCGTTGCTGCTGGAAGGAGGATGGTGCCAATGCCTGTGAATAATGATGAGGCCTAATTAGAGCCCGTGTTGTGCTGCCACAGTGCTCATAGTGCCCGCATGGCTCAGGTACAGCCCCAGCTCCTCTGTGGCTGGGCAGGGGGTGACCCTGGGCTGGTCCCCACAGTGCCACCTCCCCGAGCTCCCTGCAGGCTTGCACTGCTGATTCCCTCTCCACGTTCTTCCCTCTGGGTGCCCACAGTGCCCACCTGTGCCCAGCAGCCCTCAGCCCCTTGGCAAGTCAGAGGATGGAGTCCAGATGTGAAGCAGGAATCCTTCTCCTGCTTTGCACCTTTGGTTTTCTGCTTCTCTGTTTAATTACTGCTTCCCAGAGCATGAATTCCCAAAGCAGAATATTCCAGATCTAATGGGATCAGTCGGTTTTTTGGGGGCTTTGGGCAGGTTTGTTGTCCCAAAGCCATGAGGAGGTGAAGCCACCAGAGCTGGGGCTGCTCTGCTGCCATGGGGGCCTGGCCCAGAGCTTTGGGCTCTGTCACAGCAGCTTGCAGTGGCACACCCTGCTTCAGGAGTTTTTGGTGACACACCCTGCTTCAGGAGTTTTTGGCGACACACCCTGCTTCAGGTGTTTGTCTTTCCCCCTCCTGGCAAGGCTGGCATGGGCACCTCACTCCCCAGGCCCAAGTACAAATGATTTAGTCCAACGCTGCAGTGATTTAATTTTGTGGAATCAAATTGGTTTGCTTTACCTAAAAAACCTGAAATCCAAACCACACCTGAACTGTCTTTGACCTCCTTGGAATTTCAGTGGTATTTTTAGTTGTGGCAGTTATTTGAAATGCTGATGTGTCAGTCCCAAAGAGGGAATACTTGTCTCGAGTATTGCCACTTGAAATTTTGGGAAGCCACACAGATGTTCATCTCCTCATTATGGAAATAATGTATCTGGTTAATGTGTTGGTATGAAAAGAGGGGAATACAAATTATCTTGCAAGTCGAGATCCATTTAAAAGTTTCCTTTGGTTCAGGCAGCCCCAGGATGTCCCCAGCACCTTGGCACTGGTGGCTGTGCCAGGGCAGCTCGGGCTCAGCCTCCCTCAGCAGCTGCTGGCTGCTGATCCTCCTGGAGATCCACGGCTGCTGCTGTGGGACACGAACAACACGGCACACACACAGCTTTCCCGAGGTAAAAATGGGAACTTGAATTCTGACTCTAACGTTTATAGATTTCCAAAGGTCACGGTGGATTGCAGGGTGGCAGTGCCAGCTCTCCAATGACACTGCACACACCAACAGTCTATTACATTTATTCTCCTCTATGAAAGAATGCAACACAAGTTATTCTGTGCAGGTCCTTGGGGTGCTGGGGGTGTTCTGTGCAGGTCCTTGGGGTGCTCTGGGTGTTCTGTGCAGGGTCCTTGGGGTGCTGGGGTGTTCTGTGCAGGTCCTTGGGGTGCTCTGGGTGTTCTGTGCAGGTCCTTGGGGTGCTCT